TGACTTGAATACTTTGTCATTTAGGTATCCCATAGGAAATAATCACATGCATTGAGGCTAGGGAGGGGGGGGGGGGGAGTAATAGTGACCATATTAACCCACCGGTATGGATATCTGGGAATCTGCTAGACAACATTCTGGTACCGACGTTATAATGCAGGAAGTCTAATATAACTTTCACCGTGTTGGCATGGCCACCATGTTCCTCCAATCTTAACCTATTTGACTGTTTCCTATAGGGATATCTAAAGGACAAAGACTTCGAGTCAAATCCAAGCATTTTGGGAAGCCTGAAGGCTGCTACGGAACATGAAGTCTACCCCATTTCCCTGGATAATTTTCAGGCAGTACAGATTCCATTGATAAAGAAAGTAATAAACTTTTTTTTACTAGATCAGGCAAATAACAATATTTGTTAGGTACGGGTTAAGAAGCAACATTATTAATGCGGTATGAAGATTAGGAGAAAGAAAGAGCAATCGGGAAAAATAAAAACTTTGAAATATTGAAAAGCATTTACCTGAAGTAAATTATCTTGGTTAATTCCAGGTCTCATGCCAAATACTAAGGTGAAACTCTTTGGAAACGAGATCGCTGCATTGGATGAGGGTATTTTCCGTCCCATACTTGAGAAAATGTCCTTTGGAACCGGAAAATTGGAGATGTGGAGTGAGTTCCATAATCTGAATTGTACATTTTATTGATCAGGTTCTACCATTGCCCTCATTATATGATTACAATTTCTCTCTTCGTCTTTTTCAGACAATCCCATCCAATGTGATTGCAGTTTGATTTGGCTGGCCTCCGCTCCTTTATTAAGGAATCATATGGAGGGGGAATGCATGTCCGGACATAATTTGAGGAAACTTAACTTGGATGAGTTGCAGAGAAATTGTCGCACACATCTAGGTATCAGTTCGTTTCTAACAAAAAAAATGCTACAAGTTAGGTGATACTACAATTGAAAACAACTGCTTGCACAATGGAATTAATGCAAGAAAAGCATATTTTAGACAGCAGCAAAATATACAGCTCTATAGGATTTTTATTTGCAATGTTGGGGTCATCTATAACGCATATAAATGTGCATATTCAGATGGATCAAGTTAAACCTGAACTAATGTGTTAAAACCCAAAGACTTCGGTATCAACTTTGGGTGACATCTATTGAAGGTTGGCTTGTTCGTTCTGCAGGTACAGTATTACTCCTACATTACATTACTCAGTACTCTTACACTTCTCAAAAGACTGTAAGTGTATTACATATTAGGATATTGTGAAGCCAGAGGCAAAAGCGTAAGCACCACTGAATTTTCCACATACATTACAATAAACTTAAATTTAGGAATTCTTGCTTTTCCAAAATACGATGATATGCAACACCTTCCTTAGATGATATGCTTCGAAATTTGAAAAGCTGTGCAAGGAAAGCAAATGAAGTTCCAATAGGCTATATTATGGAAAGCCACACAAAGAGTAATTGGCCTAATTGGAAACTTAACCCGATCAAGGAGACATGCTCTTTATCCCTGATAACGATAGGCACAGTGGTCTCAAAAATGTGCTAACCTAATGCTAGCGAGTTCGTTTGCCCTTTACAAACAAATGTCGCAGTATTAGTGATGTTTTAGGAATTTTTGAAATAAATGAATATTAATTTTTTTGTCATGGTCCAAAGGAAGACCATTTTGATCGTTGACCTCAGTTTTAATTGAAATTACATGAATTGCATGTCGTTTAAAAGGGTAGGAAGAGTCCTTAAAAATGACACTAGGTTCAACTCTCTGTTTATTAGATCGATGCCGAAGGGTAATGACCGAAAGTTGGTCTTAATCACCTCATTATCACTTTAATAGGAATTTTGAAATAGTTGCATTTCAGAAAGTACTCTAGGGAGCTAAAATTCAGCATGGAATCGTTTTTCAATAGTCCCGACGTGTTTACAAATTTCAGGAAAATCGAAGGGGGCCGGTTTTTTTAATACTACTGATTGAACATGAAATAAATACAAATATTCAACACTTTAGGGTTTGCTATTCCTATTATGTTTTTCACAGCTACCTCAGAGATCTTCCTTTATTATTGTCGCTGAAAATATTTTCATCAGATCGCCATTTGACCTTCCAATATTTATTGAATGAGATTTCATCGGATTCACCGCCCATTATTTCATACATTCATTTGAAACAAACCCGTTGCAAATGCTAGGTTTCAATATACCGTCAAATGAGATCTGTGAGCGACATTAAGTCCTACACGATGCAGTTATCTACACTTGGTTCACAGTAAGTTTTTCATCTTCAGGCAATTATTGTTGCAAAGCTTAATTACCCGCAAGGATGAATCGGCTGGATTCTGAAAATAAGTTGATTCCGTTATTAATAATTGCATCCTTTTTAGTTTGCTGCATAATTTATTGGTGGTTTTACGAATCGGAAATGAGCGCATCTCCCCAACTGACTATTTAGGGCGAAATACAGAGAATCATTTAGGTCATTGTAGGATTTCAAATGACCGTATGACCAACATGTGCGTGTTCGTAACATCAGGTCCATAACTGCTGCGAGCATTTTTGAAATAGCAGAACAGATGTTGGCGACGATCGACGACATGCCTGGGCTAAACGTGCAGTGGACGAAAACCAGATTTGTCATGTTGAGCAAATGAACATCAAATATTGTAATGTAATTGTTCTATTCCTGGGCTTTAAATTAAACATTAGCACCGGCTCAGGTCACAACACCATTCGTAAGAGGGTGGGATGGGGTTGGCACTTCCATTCAGAAAACGAGGTCAAGCCGACTGCCATAAAGTCACTTCAAAATCAACCTAAAACTTTCGAAGTAGTGGGACTTCAGAACTTTCTAACTTCACAGTTAAACCTGAACTTCATAGCACGATGGAACAATAATGGCCAAACGCTGATTGAGATCACCTTGCAAAGTAGATATATTACATACCACTGCATATGGATTCATTTCATGTGTATACATCATTGTAACCTTTTCATTTGAACAGTCCTCGCTGCAGTAATTTCAGCCGCATCTATTACGATCGTGGCTGTCCTTATAGGCTCCGTCATCTGCTATCGCTGCAAGATGAAACAGGTTAGTCAAGCACATTAAATATGTTTCATTACCCCATTATCTCTGTGCCTTTGATTCGGCAGGGGCGGACCCTCGCGTTGACGAATGAAGATTTGAAGCGGTTTCGAAGAGGACAACCAGAGAAAATTATTTCCTCATCGGAGCTGAGCGAACAAGCACCTTCTCTGCCATACAGGAAAAATTGGGAATTCCCAAGAGAGAAGCTAAAGCTAGGTAAAACCTCTGTCTCGATCAAGTGGAGATGCCAGGCAAGGGTGAAGTCATTTGAGACAAAATGCGCTATTTTCATACATTACATGCTTCGTCCAATGATGCGTGTAGCTAGCGTCTCTGATTGCGTCCGAATGTGTTCAAATATAAAGGATTACACATGATCATGTTTGCCCATATTGATTTGCTAGCAAATAGGTATCGTAACTGCGCTTGTTTGCATGTAATGCGGCCAAACCTGTTTCTCAGCGCGTGCCATATCTATTTTTTCTTTCAACGTTTCCTCATGTTAGAGTTTATGATGTCCTTAGGGACCTTCCTACCTTCAAAAGTATCATCCTCGATATGCAAGGATCCGGAAGTGAAATAATCCAAATCTTGCGCGAAAGCCTAATATTTTATGCAAATCCTTAGAAGTTTGCTGAAGTATTCAATACATATGCATGCGCGGGCTTACCTGCTCGTAGATTCTAATGAAAACATGCAAACATGCATGGAAACAGCATGCACATAGGAACAGTGTTAAAATTCCAATTGTTTGGTGCACACTGTCCTACAGTAAGCGGGAAGGAGCTTGGTCGGGGTATGTTCGGGGTCGTGATCAAGGCCGTAGCCGTTGGGATATGTCCTCCGGAACCGGAAACGA